TGCCAGATAAAAAGATCACCTCTAGAACTTTTGCAGAAAGGGTGAGCACAATTGTCAAGTCATTTGGATTAAGTTCCACCGGCTGAGCCTAGATAAATGTTGATATTTCTCATACAACGCTCTTTCTTCTCCCAAAAAAGGTGTCTTTTTGCCTCATAATTTCTGTTCCTTAGGAGTTACTCTCTGGTAAAATTGCTTATCAAATGTGGATGTCTGTGAACATTTGAAACAACACCCCTTGTATCAGCATTCAATATATAAATTCCAAATCTTCAAAACTCCACATGCAATTTGCCTAATGGATAATTTGAACAATCCCATTTATCTTCCATTTGGCTTCCATTGGGGGTCCTTCCAAATATGGATATCTTTCGTGCTCACCCCAAATTCAAATATTTGTTGTTTATCTTAAGGCTCTCAAGGGTATTCTAATTAAGTTAAAGTGAAGAGAATCACGACTTGGGAAAATAGAGTAATCGATTTGAGCTCACAGGAAACCTTGGAGCCCGATCGTGCTCCAAAGGTTGTGTTTAACCTAAACAAACACTTGCCTTTTGTAGTACGTAACGAAGTTACTCGAACAACGAAACAAGCCGTCAAAATGACGTCAATTCATCGAGGAAGAACTGTCGGGACTAAAGCATGTTGAGGAGGATTGTTTTTAATAATCGTTGAGTCATAGGATATTTTTAACAGTAAGAAATTTGTTGAGGCAGACCAAAAAAGTAACAGTTTATGCGTGAGAGCAATGCGCACATTTTCTGCTGTGCTCTCATCAAGGCTTACCAAAAATCGTTGCCATGACTAAATTCTGCATACGGAAATTAGCTGATAAGATCATAGAGTGCTCACATAAATCAAGTCTCTGTAAATGAGAAAGCTTCAAAAATCAGACGACAGGTTTTATCGGGCAGCCAGTGGAAAACCCCTTTTCCAGGGTCAAGTAAGGATGGAAAAGGAAGGGCCTCCAAGGCTGTTCAGCTCCAAGCAAATGCGAAGAAATATAAATAAGTAACCTTATTGTTTAAAAAAACAAATGAAGCTACTGGCCTCGTTGAACACTCACTGGACCTAAATATCATTTGCTTTTATCACTATTACATTTGCTATCCTATCTTGCTTGACTTTGATGAACTGTTGGGGATCATGATTCAGCTCACTACTGCAGAATCCCCAGCGTTAATGCATCATACCGAGACTACCACACATCTCTACTCAACACCCTGTCAAAGTTGCTGAGGAACTCGAGCTACAATGTTGAGCAGAATCATAAGAGAACCTTCTCTTTTCCCATGCATTCCTGTTCACGCATCAGGCGTATCAAGGCTTTTATTAGCACCACAAATACCATAACCAGATCTTGGGGCGTTAGAAGCGCTAGAATGAGTTATTCCACCCTGCCCATATCGTCAAAAGGAGGCATTGGGTTTCTTGATCTGGATTGCTTGAATGCTTCTGTTTTAGCACAAGAACCGGGCATGGCCTGCCTGTTCTGATTAAAATCTGAGGGTGGTGACTGAATGAATGCCCTCTTGCTTCAGGTCCTCTGCTATTCAAAACAGAATTGTCCCGTGATATCGTTTGTTGGAAACTGATTCTTGGATCAGCTCTTTTGTACCTATTCTCTATCACAACTGAAGGCTGTTGTGCCGTAGATGGAAAATTATTCATACGAGAATCCGGTCGTTTGTATCTGTTCTCAGTCACAGCAGGATGGTCTTGTGAGGTAGATGGGGAATTATTTCGTTTGTATCTATTCTCAGTCATCGTTGGCTGCTCTTGTGTGATAGACGGTTGATTATTTCGTCTGTACCTATTCTCAACCATAGCAGGAGGCTCTAAATTACGTTTTGATGGTGAGCCTTCTTTGTGTACAGCATTTGTTCCAGTATCAGCCGAGTTAGCCCTGTCCAGATCACGATTAAAATTAAATACTTCATTGAAATTATCATCGCAAACAAATATGGAACAAGCAATATTCTTCATAATTTATCTGACCTGTCCATCACAAGTGACACATGCTTATAACCATCAGAAAGCACTTCTTCCTCTGTCTCAAACCCTGATTCAGCAGGACTTTCATTCGGATCTTCATCAACGTCGCTAGCCTCTTGAGCCTCAACAGAGTTATTCATCGCATCTTGCAACTTTTTCCCACGGGCACCACCTTTCTTTGGTAGCCCAAATTTGATATGCCTGACAATCACATAAGCTTCTTTTTTCCCCCAGATGCGGTCCACTTTCCACGACAGACACATCTTCTAACTGAAAAGAACTGCTTAAGTATAGAATGGAATGATGGACAAAGATAGGAAAATAACATAAAAGAGACAACTTATAGACAAAATTTAGACAGGAAATCAAGGAATCAAGCAGGTGACAGTCATACCAAAGCAGAAAAGCGCGATAATATTCCTTCAACGTCCTGATCTCCAGCTCCTCCTAATGCCCTGCACTGCTTGCATAACCAAGAATGAGTGAAAGGCCAACAAACATATCAAAATATTTTATAATGCAATGAATGCATGCAAACATGTTGTTATGGCCAAAATTTTCTCAAGACATCTTTTCTTCTTTTCTTATCATGTATGCATGTTGCAGACCCAGAACATGATGTAAGCATGGATGCATCAGTTCATTTAATGAATTGCCATCATAAATTATATATAGATGACTACCATAATTTACATCAAATGACCTATGAGCGTTTAATGATTAGCAATTCAGATGCACGCACGAACCTCACTTCAGAAACATTCTAAAATCACTTCATAATTGCTCCACAGGTATTGTAGAAACACCATCTAAGAACAACCTACTCTTTTTTTTGGGCCAATATGAACACCCTAAACGAAAACCAATTAAATATCAAATGTAGAGGGAGAAAAATTACCTTCACCCGGTAACCCTTCTCCATTAATTTCTAACCATATCTGCTTTCATCTTCAGGTCTTTTAGTTCCTGAGGACATAAGATAAAAATGTCAAAACAGGAAATTTACTTCTCAAGTTCAGTAGGTAACAAAGAAACGCAACATATAATGACACGGGAAAAAAAGATGTAGTGAGGGAAGAAAGGAATATAGAAAATGAACTTACTGCTTTGGCAGAAAAGCGTATTTCCTTGCCAGGCCCTTTTCTCAAACTCAACTCTGACTGCATGTGATAGATATCATATTAAAACAAAGTTGCGTATAGACACACAGGCACATATATACAAACACATATACATGTGGACTATCTTTTTAAATTAAAGAAAATATGCAAAGGCTCATTTTCCAGCCACTTGATAGTTGGCTCTATAATATTTTATGTCAACATCATGTCAAATATGCATCACATACAAATATTCACATAAATTATTCTATCAACTAATATGAAAAGGTTATAAACTTCATGGTCCATTTATTTTTTGCTCCACCCCATAAGGGCATATATTTAAGTCCTGCCAATGATCTCGTTGGCAAAAAATCTATAAGCACCTCTGTCCTCTATAACTGCTCTTTGACCAATTAGGCCTACCTTAACCCTGATGAAATCTCAAAAGCCCACTCACTTGTTCCTTTTTTGTCCAAAATAAAAAAACTAACAAAAGATAGTAAGATAAAATACATTGAAATATTAACTAATTTCCTCCTATGCTTATTCAAAATCCTATATTCTATCTTTATCTATAATTTCTACTGGCAAACAACAGCAAAACTGAACCTTGCTTTTAGCCCGCTCCTTTTCCCTTTCTTGTTGTTTGTACTTTTCCTTGTGGTAGTCCATAATTTTGCAGACAGGCGGTTTTCCATTTTTCTGAACCTGTACAACATTATCAAAATTATAGAGGCCCGGGTGACTATGAGAACAGATCTAATACTTAAAATTACAAATGCCAGTAGAAACATGCTTGAACCTCTATGTGCTGAATCTAAAACAAAAATTATTTGCGGGCATAGGGGTGGGTGAGGTGGCCACTATATGACCCAAACATAAGAGATACTTCTTTTTATTGAAAGAAAATAAAGCTTCTTATTTTTGTTGCAAGTGACAATTTTTCGCCATATGAAATTAGACAAAGTCTCTACCCACCCCGTCTTAAGATTGAAGATTCACAGTCTACGCATCATACAAACCTTTAAAAGTCCCACAAATATCAACAAATCCTTCAGCAAGCTATAATATTTTATTCATTAATTATTTCAACTGAGCACTTCTGTTTAAATGTTGGAACTCTCAGATAACATGGCAAAAGACCTGAAAAAACTTTACCTCCACCAAATCAAGCTTGAGCCGCCTAGCGCGTTGTAATGCTTCAAGCCTAGAAACTATTGAATGTTCTGCATGAATATATAAATTTAATGGGAAATTCAGAGTTCAAACAAAACCAACTTACACATATACAAGCTCCCAAATATGCAAGTACTGATCTTTCCATTGAAGCTAGTACAATGCGGCATATGTCTACACTGTGTTCCATACATTTATCATTTATTATATGCAAAAGACTACAAATCTCCATAAATCCTTAGGCAGTCTTATTCAACTTCCTAAGCATGCTCCATACCATATTTTCGTTAATCCTAGTCACATTTGTTTAATAGGAAGTAAGAGAAAACAACTGTTTGTAAACGCAAATATGGCTGGTAACTTCATGGTCTAGCAAATTTTTAGAAAAACAACCCACAGTTTTAGGACACTAGCCCTTTCAATATAAGATGACTGATCTAAGTATATGGGTGCACTTGCACTCCCTTCCTCCAAATCAGTAATTAAAAGCCAATACAACCTTCCCCTGATAAGTTGATATTTGATTACCAATTGAATTGTAATCATTCTTACTGAAGGTATTAATTATTAGACTGAAAAGAGCCATGCCATGCCCACAACCACGACAACAACATTATTTTTTTAAAAAAAAAAAAAACAGTTTACATTAGCGAATATCAGGAGTATATTTACCATCATCAACTACAAGCCTGATAAACTGCGCAGTAATTTCTTCATTTATTCGCGGCTCACTGTTGTCCATCTTCGTCTTCGACTGAAAACCAAGAATGCACCATCAACCCATAACATCACGGAGAACCATCGAAACCATACATGGTCATCAAAACATCATGCACTGTTATACACAACCTGAAAATCCGTTGCACTGCCTTACTGGATAAAGAAACACAAACCAATTCCGCTAGAACAAACAAATGCATGCCTCAACATTGAAAATTTTACGCTAAGATACCATCACTCATCATACTTCACAACAAACACACCACCCCACTTTTAGTCACCATGAAAGCAAAAGTTTAACATTTTCAACCACTAAAGTTAAAACTTACCTGAGCAGGGGCAGCGAAAAACCTTGCGTTATTATAAACATCAGTGGATCTACTTCGAAAAATCCAGCTTGGTCTCTCAGAAACGCGGGTATTCCGATGCGTGATGGAATTCAATAAAGATGCGCTGGGGAGTTGAATGTAACATCTTCGAAATTGGGTGGACAAGATTTTCAACTTAGATTGCCCGATTCGGCACCAATACGCCATTACTTATGTGCAGTAAAAGAGACCTGGAAACTAATAAACCACTATCATGACACTATTCGTTTGGCAGAGAGGTCGATCCTTTAGCCCAGAGGAAAGTTAGTTTTTCAAACAGCGACTCAGAGCGGCTTTAACAGTTACATACAGCCTTACCAGCTACCCTTGCGCCCGAACTGGAAATTGCTCCCGCGCGCAGGGAAGGGACGACCGGACGAGGAGTGGGGTTACGCGGCCTAGAACCAACGGGGCAGAAGTCATGGAAGCTAGAAAGCGGAAACTGGTGGCGGGGCCATGCTTTACACTCGAAGTTAAATGGCCCTGAGTCGAGGTGGGCCTACAATTAATAGTCCAGAAGTCAGGCCCAAGATTCGGATTAAAATTCTTTTGTTCGCATATCCCGATCTTTTAATTGATATCTTATCATCATAATCCAAAGATAATAAGGGCCTAATATGCCATGTTCGAATCCCCTAAGGAAAAGTGTCTACATTTAGTATCTAATAGTGTCTCAAATAAGATTATCTTAATAAAAAGATACCTATGTTTTAGCAACAACAAAAAAAATAGGAAGGAAAATAATTTTTATAAGAAGAATTTGAGTTGATTTGCAGCCGAAGAAAAATTCCAAAATTATAGATATGAATTATTTTGCATTTTAAACAAAATTAAAAACACAATCAAGTATATCATAATAAGATAAAAGGGATTGGTGATATTCATTTAGTAAATTCTTTAAATTTTTGGAATTAGGTTGTGTGTTTAAGGTCATGTTTGGTTTGATATGCATTATTTAGATTTCTAAGGAATTAATACTTCACTCAAATTAATATTAATTGATAGATTTTATTTTTTGTTTTTAATTATTAAGGTATTTGACTTTGGAATATTTATAATCAAATAGAAATTATAGACTACCTCTAATTCTTAATATAAGGGTCAGTCTGACATTCAATTGATCTTAAATATAAGATCTCAATCTTTGTCTCATATATTTATTCATTTCTTTTAAGGTAATCCGTGCAGTAGTTACATGTGTTAAAAGTTTAATCAAATGATAATTTTATTTAATCCACATGATTAGTAAGGACATTTTAAAAAAAAAAATATATATTTATTACAAATAACTGATTTAATTACTTTTTTAAACTAATTAAATTAATTAATTAGTTTTTATATTAATAATAAGAAGTAGAAGTATAGTTCAGTGCATGACTGCATCCCCCCGGGGGGCAGCATCCATGACTGCATTGTTGTATCTAATATGCAATGCGTGAGCGTACATTTCTAGTTTAGTAAACGAATTGAAATTTATTAATATATTTTTGAGACACAACACAATATTATTTATTGGCAACAGAGCTTAATCTCCCTGATATGCGAGATAAGGGGTATAATTTTCCAATTAAATTTTGTTTTGTACACTCTATTATATTACTTCCGATCCTTAATATAAGATCTTGTTTGAATTTTATTTTAGTTCTAAATATAAGACTCCAATCAATTTTGTCTATCATATTTATACATTTTTTCTCAAAGTAGCCCTTCTAACAATGATAGTTCTAGTCAATACACTTAATTAGCAAGGATATTTTAGAAAATACAACACCTATTTAGGACAAATAACTAACTCAACTTACTTCCTTAATCTCCTCAAATTAGTTAACTAGCTCTTATAATTAGGACCGGATATAGTGTATAAAAATATGCATAATAGAAGCCACCCGAACATTTTGTAGCTTGCTAATTTTTTATTATTCTTAATAAACCTCCCGTGAAAAAACATATTAGATTGTGAATAAAGAGACTTTAAGTACCTGTTTGGATCATAATAGAAATTTTCTATAAACACATTTTACATAAGTAAAGATAAAATTCCTTTCACATACTTGTTTCGTATTCTGTAAATCAATATTAGAAAATTATTTATAAACTACTTAAAAACCATTCTGAATCTTTCTATGCGCAACTTGTAATGTCTCAAATCTGAAGTCCCATCATGTGTTTAGTTTTGCATTATTATAATTAGAGGACCTGGCCATCACATGGATTGGGGGTCCAAAACCCAGCTTTCGATGGGAATTTGAACGATGATACAGAAATTCCAATTTAGTGGTCAACGACTCATCGCAGCTTCACTGCAAGCCAGATAATTCTCTGATATTTCATATCCACCAATATTTTGGAACCTTCAGGAACCCAAAAAAAAAAAAAAAAACCATTTTTAGGCTCAGATCATTCAGGCCTTGCAAACCGGTCAAGCTTAATTATTTTTTTAATCTTCCATGATGTCGAGGGAATCAGTACTTAGTCATAGAGACATATATTTATTTGGGTACAATTTCCATTTTATATTCTAAGTCTTAATTAGATTCTTATCTCATAACACGTAACAATTTAGAAGATTTTTTTATACCAAAAAAAAAAATCAAAGTGAGTTGGATTTGGAGTCAGGATATATCTTTAGATACAGAGAATGTTCACAGAACTTCAAACAATTAAACTGCAATATTTTGAATTCGTGGATTGGGTTGTGGCTGTGAACGTTTTGAGGAAAGATTTATTTATAATGGACCAAAATAACAAGTTAGAAATAAAATCAAAACAAATTACGCAGTGTTTGCTCGATATTGACTAATAATATAATCCCTTACGTAAAGACAGAATGAATTATTAGGTTTAAATACATATCAAGCGGACATGCTTCTCCTGGGGAAGGCTTTCTCGTGGGAAATTGTTATTATAAGAGACTGCTGAACTTCCAGAAGCTATTTTGGCCAGGAAAGAGGCAAAGAACATTCGTTTTCCTGATATTTGTTTGACCACACACAAAGCCAAACGTGGGATTCATTAGCCAATATCGAATTGACTTTGACAAGCTACAGTTACGGGTTGATCTTATCATCAACCAATCAACGAATTAACCAAGATATGCATCATCTGGGGACGGTGTCTGGTGCATGTTTGGCATTAAGTTTATGGCTCAACCAAACTGAGGTCCTACACTTAAAAATAAAAAAGTCTTAACCCAAAATAATGTTTAGAATGACTCCTGAGCAGAATGATTCCTTATCTCAAAAATAACTCTAAAGCTGAAATAACTTTTTTGTGACTTTTAATTTCTTTTAGATTATACTGCCTCTGGTCCTTAATATAAGAATTAGCTGATTAATTTGAGCAGATTAAAAAAATTAGTTGTATAAGTATTTATAATAAATAAGTGTTATATTTCTTAAAATACTCTTATTAATTATGTGTATTAGTTAGAGTTATCATTTGATGAAACATTTAATATATGCAACTGTTATAAGAACGATCTTTAAAAATAAATAAATATAAAAGATAAAATAAATTGATATTTTATATTTAAAATTAAATTAAATATTAAATTAACTCTAAAGAATGGAAAAAGCGGTTGAAAAGTCAGATTTATAGGGTTAAAATCTAAAAACAAAGTTAAAAGTCATAAGGAGAATGTTAACCTCGTAGTTTGCGTGCGCTGTGTACGTATATAAAGTCGATAAAGCAGTTGGTATTCGGTATTGAAGTGACAGGGCTCAAGGAAATTGCCTCCCTTAACTGACCAAAGACTGATTGGAAGTTCGGAACTTGCACGTGTGGGGCCGGGGAATCCATTGTATTAAAATAATTGATGCTTTCTACTCAAAAAAAATAATTGATGCTAAATTATCGGCAAAATATAAATAAATAAATTGATGCTAAATTAAGTGCCCCACGAGACGAACTAGATTATAATATGGCTGAGGGCAGAGCAAGCCAAGTTGACAAATTCTTGTGCTGACTGATCATCTCAAAGAAAAAGATCCACACAATCAACTTAACCTGCAAGCATTTGAATATAATATAGCGTTGAAAAAAAGAAAAAGAAAATCACTTGTAACTTAATGAAGTTATGAAGAGATCTCGCACAATTTTAATATTCAGGAAGTTCTATTTCAATGCAAAATGAACACAATATTAATGGGGTGTTTGGAAGCGCCTTCACAGAACGAAACAAATTCTTTATATATTTACTTGTAAAAATATTTTTAAAATTATAATTTTGATTCCATTCAAACACCGTTTAAACCAAGAATTGGAACATAGAAAATCTCATCATATTTTTTCATACACAGGCACAAACTAAATTTCCCGTTCGGGTGAGGGAAATCAGAACTGCTATAGATTTGTTGAGTTGATAATTATTGCCAGCTTCCTCTAGTAATCTGGGGCATATGAGGAGCCACCTGTGTTATCGGGTATCAACGGGCTAGAGCCAGAATTTAGAATATTTATGATTTGCTTTTCCGGGGTGTTTGGATAAAAATCAAACCATAGTCTTAAAAGTACTTTTACGATCTATGAAGTAAATATATGGAGAAATTTGTCTCGTTTTAACGAAAAAGTGTTCTTGAGAAGCACTTTTCAATGTTGTCAAATACCTCCTAAAAGTATAAGAATGAGTGAAAAAGGAAATAAGTTAATAAAACTTAATAAAATATTTAATTAATAATCAACAAGAATTACAAAGAGTAAATCAACGTCAATATTCAATTCGATATGAAATATGAAATGTTTAATAAGTTATAAATAGCACGGTTCATCTCAATGTCTGCACGATATGCATAAGAATTTGCCTATTAATGTAGATTATCAGATTTTGCCGAGAACTAATAATCCAATAAAATTTGGTCCTAGGCTTTTTGCCCCACTAAGCGCCCAACAGTCGGTCTTGAACTCATCTTACGCCTTGAGTTCAATTATTATTATTATTATTATTATTATATTATTATTGATATTGATTTATGTTCATTGGCTTTATCAGCAGCAAGGAAGAGCTTGCCCAAATTATTTATACCCTGTACTAATTATAAAATCTCATTTGTATTTTATAAACAAAATTATAATTAGGATCACAGGTAGTATTATTTTAATAAAAATGTTGAAGCTTTCAAAAAATTTATTTTAATAAAAATAGGGTTAATATAAATTTTAGTCCTTCAAATTTGCCTTTACTTTGATTTTAGTCCCTAAAGTATTAAATAATAGGTTTTGGTCCTTTAAATTTTTTATAAAATATTAGTCCCTCTAATTTAATAAAGATCTGAATCATTTTGACTATTGAGAGATCAAAACTTATAGTTTGAAACTTAAAAGATTAAAATTAAAATGAGAGCAAAATTGAGAGAGCAACGATCATATGAACCATAAAAACTAAAAAAAAAAAATCTCTTACTTTTT